CCAAAGTAGTCCGATAACAGGCCATTTCAGCATAATCCACAAATGGCCAACAAAGTGTTGTCGTGTCGTCATTTTGAGAGTGGAAACGTCATTATGCATACCGAAATTTAAACACATATGATGGGGCTCAGACATTCTTTTATTAAAAATCCGATAAACAGCGCAGCTAATAAGAGTGATTGTACTTAAGCATCTAAAATACCATATTCTGTAAGCTACCACTTGCATCATCTGTTTAAGGGTCGCAGTCACTTTCGTAATTGAAATTTTATAAAGTATTCTTTAACGTTAAGTTTTTTATATTTCGTTCCATATAGTTTTAAATAAGTAACATATTCTGATTTACTGATTATATTCGCTGTCATTTTCCCCGGCCTTTTTGCTTGTGGCACTGTCTTTACTGCTATGTCTGTAGCTTAACTCAAGTTGGCAGCATTCCTCCGTTAGGACTTATCGTGCGCTTCATAAGTCGCTGTCTAAAAGTGATGTTCTCGTAAACTATTCACACCTTCAGCATTCCAAACATCGCCACTGTTTGCCATTGTCTGCTCTACAAGGTCAAAATGTGTTGGTTTGTACCCTCTCACTGATACTCACCGTCTTTCGTTCATTCCAACCTCAACCCGGTCTCTCTTTGGTGCAGAACTCACTGAAGGCGACTATTGGATTTTTTCTTTTTGCAGTTAGATAGCTCAATGTTTCTGTTGTAATCTGCTGAACTATGTAAAATTCTTCATGAGGATGCTGATTCATATGGTGTGTAACGTCGGCCTATAAAAGTACTTCTCGATCTTTTGTACGTTTATGTTTTCTCTGTATATCTATTTTTTTCTGAAAAATGATTACTATTTGTCCTTTTGGTGTCGTTCAAGCTGGCTATAGTATGGCTATAGCATTTTGGAAAGACCTGACATGTCAGTCGTTACGAAAGATTTGCCCATATAAAAGGAATTGTCAGCAATGAGGTATAAATCGATTTAAGTTCCTTTGTGGCCGCACGGAGAATTCGACGAGGAATATGACCTTTGCCGCAGTAACCACCATCGCTTGAATCATTCTGGGAAACTATAGCTTCCGACATCATTAAATCTTAGTGCGCGGTCTTTTACCCTGATACCACAGACAACGATCGCAACAGCAACGGAGTATGCACCGACGATAATTTGTTTCTGGCTGTGGGCGCTTTAGCATGAATTGGCATGAAAACTGTCGTCAGTTTGAGATCTGTTTCGTTTATAGATAGGTAAGAACCCTAGAAAAATGCGTCTTTAGTACATATCGGTAACCGTTAGTCTTAAAATACTTCACAGTTATGTTTATTCTGTTTATACACCTTTGGCCGTCATCCAAAGGATGACTTTATCACTTGTGAAATACGCTCTTTTGGCCCCTGTAGAATCCCAGAACAAACTTTCATGTTTTTCCTAGCTTCGGTAGAAAAATTAGGAAATTGGATAAGTATAAACGGCATCATTCTCGGTCCAACCAAATCCTTCGACTGGACTTTCTTTAATATTTGTGATCGAGCTTGTCATGGGCCACCTTTAGCTTGTCGAGATCTCTTTCAAGAAGACGGCAGTTGTGAAGTTTGTCTCGTATTGGTTGTAGATGACAGTTTCGGTTGGGAATCTCAGAGTTAAAACCATTTTATCTTTGACCTTGTGCCTTTTGAAGAGGTAATGCTTCAGGTCAGGGGTCTGGAATGAGTTTGCGCGAGTTTTCATTTTGCCTTTTGTTCAATATGGTGCATCCGTCTACTTCAGCGTCCTCACTGTGAAACAGTTCCGTTGCGTCAGATGCTTGGCAGAATTACTTTGCATTATGTGCAACTTCATGTCTGAGAAACTTGTGACTATCATGACAAAGAATCCAATGTTAAGTTCGGCATGTCGATCCTAGCCTTCCAAGCTCGTCGTTTACATTAGTGCTGTGAAAGCGTGCCTATCGGACAATCCAACCGTTTGGTCAAATTACGTGTCGTGCAAATTTCGGACTGAGGTGTACAGGAAATCGGTTATCCCTCTTAAAGTTAGGTGCATTATCGATTCCGTCGAAGAACAGCAGGAGCCATGGTAGAAAGATGTGACCATCGTAACTGTTTCTAGCAAAATCACCAGTGCGGTGTTTCTCTTTGACTTACATTTGTCATTTCTCTGCTGGATGGCTGCTGGTCGTGTTCCTTAAGGAACGCTTAAGTAAAACTGAATGAATAAGCTTAAGGGACTTGTCGACCTCAAAAACGCTTTGTAAATCGTGATTAGGGATCATGTTTATGAAGGTAGTACAGAATGATTCGAGATTTCGTTGATTTTGCTTAGTAAAGGATTACGTGTGCTTTTGCGCTTAGTCATCCGCAGCTGGCAGAGCAGGTGAAGGCTGATTCTACTCATTTGTTTATAAACTAGAGAATTGAGATTAGTGGAAACGGAATAAAGCTAAAATGTCGATCAGAACTTATGAGCATGTGTGACGTATTGTTTAGGTAATTTGGTTGTTCTCATTACGCAAGCTGCTTGCCACTTGTAGTTTATTACATCATTCTGTTTTATTACTGTAGCAGTTGGTATGAATACGGATTGCTTTTCAGCGATCGCAGTCCACCATATGAGTAGACAATATGCACACGAAGCATAATAAATTATTGTAACGAATGCTTCAATAAATGTTGTTAAATTGCCTCGTTTTTGTCGCGCTTAACTGATCGATTTTTTGAGCCACGAATTTTTTAGTTCTTTTTTATCTGTTCACTAAACCGTGCCTTTGTGGTAGTCACATCTTAGTGAACATGCCTTCTTCGGAAAGAGTAGAAAGCGAGGAGCCGAAGAGCATGCCAGATAATGCTGACGTCGATGGTGAGGACATCGTCACTCCTTGGACAGTCGCCTCCTCCTCCGCCACCGGAGTCGATTACGATAAACTCATAGGTTTGGTGTGTCTAACAGCGAATCTTGAACAAAGGGCGTGATAATGCGTTGCAGATCGTTTTGGCTGTAAGAAGATCAGCCAGGAGCTGATCGACAGAATAGAAAAGGTGACCAATCGACCCTGTCATCACCTGTTAAAGCGGGGAATGTTTTTTGCTCATAGGTAATACTTGCTTGATTATCGATTATTGTTATTTATTATTGTTTATCTCGTCGTGAAAACCGTGAATTTTCGGATTGTTGATACTTAGCCATGTTTTTCGCTGTAAACTATGTTCCAAATAGTACAAGATCAAAGCGGGGATTTGAGGCTAGGCTACGCAGTTTCGTCACATCCTTGCAATCAGGAAGGCACTATTTCTGTGAAGCGAAGTTTATAACCGCTGGAATGTCGGTCTTTATGTTTTCGCGATAAGACTGTTTGTAGTGGCATTCTTTTCATTAAATTAATGGGAAGAAGTAATCTCTATTTCCATGCCATAAGCCAAGTGTGCTTTATTTTAAAGGCAGAGCGGAGAGCAGCAGGTGGCTCTGATCAATTTAAGAGAGAAGAATGGCGAGCCATCCGACAGCGACACTGTCCCAGGATCTCTCGTTTCTGAATCTGACCCTCTACCGACTGTGCAATTGCAGTGACAAGATTCGGATCATAGATCTGGATTGGATATGCTCATCTTTGAGTTCACTCCCTGATACATTTATCATCTTTAATGTGATAACGACAATTATTGTGATAACGATATCAGTCACTATACTAATGAATTATCGTTCATGGCCATATACATTACAAATTCATCTGGCATATTTTATGTTATACATGCAAAGTTAGATGATGATCTCAGTGCTCAAAGATTGGAGAGAACTAAGGAAAGAAAAGGACTTTGTATCCAAGACGGAAGTAAAATGCTTGTAGGTATATTGTTGATGTGTGGTTCCCCAGTTCTTGAATTTCGTAAATTATTTAAGATAGAACGTTAGGTGATAAATCTCCAGGTATCGTGACGAATTGTTAAGCGTTAAGTTCGTCATTAGATGTGGACAGCTATTCATTACCCTGTTATCTTCGCAACACAGCATTGAAACATGTTTGTTGAAATGACAAGAAAAGATAGAGAATCAGATGAATGTGTAAGAGGACAAACAAGAGCTTGCAATGTCACCGCCTGAGTGAAGAATTTAAAGTGGCAGTGAGCAGGACACGTTGCAAAAAGAACTCACCATCGCTGAAACACAGATGTCAAACTGTATTCCAAGAGACGTTGATCGAAAATGGCTAATGATGATAAAGTTCATCATTCAATATTTATGTCATAATAATTGTAGCACCAGTTGTTCGATTACGAATTTTTAGGTTTTACGGATATTGGCATAAACACGTAATTATCTTGTTTTATTATCATGACCGTTTTAACCGTTAACATCGTGATGACTGTTATGATTTCACCCTGGAGGCTTCATTTGTCATGTGAATTAGAAATGTTTTGTTTTTTGTTATCTTCTGTTTATGATCATCATCAGCGCCTTACTGTACGTTTTTTAGTCTTTATATACTATGCCGCTACATTTTAAGGACTGTTTTGTGTGATAGGGAATTGGATGAAATACTGAAGCTACATGAGACTGGCAAGCCGTTTTACTTGTATACTGGACGTGGACCGAGTTCTTCGGCGATGCATCTCGGACACCTGATTCCTTTTGTTTTCACCAAGTACGCGTGATTGTTCGCCGCATTTGTATATGCTTTATTTGTTTAGATATTTGCAGGATGCATTCAATGTGCCCCTTGTTATTCAGCTAACCGATGACGAAAAATTCCTTTGGAAAAATCTCGACCTCCAGGAAACTCATAGGTTAACGTACGAAAATGCCAAAGATATTATTGCTGTTGGGTTCGATATCGAAAAGACCTTCATATTTTCTGACTTCCAGTTCATTGGGTAATTTTTTAAATTACTTTTTGCTACTGCTTTAATCTTGATTACTTATGCTGTGTTTTCAATGGCTGTGTTTTCCTTACCTGTGGGCGATGGTGAATTGATCTGGGAAATAATGGCTGAGTTATGTTATATGCCATTTTATCGACTTATCTTGTAGTGTCGTCGTTACTGTTATTTGCTGTGGACGCTATTTCGAAGTTTTTCACCGCAGTTCTTATTGTACTTTAAATGAAGAACAATGCGATTATAAGTCTAGCCAAAGGAGTCTGATGACCTTAGATATTAGTACCCACATAGATGAATGGAAATTTACCCTTTGAACTGAATCGCCGAAGAATTTCATTTTTCATCAAAAATAAGAATAAAAACATGAAATCAATGACACAATAACACAAGACAGAACTGCACTTGCACGGATAAACCTAGCAGAATGAATGAGTGAACAAATGAATTGCTTGTGGAACCAGTGCAGAACCGCAAAGCAAGGTTATTAGAGACAAACTGAAGAAGGCAATTTAATATTGGGTACATACAGCTATTATTTTTTTAACGTCAGTGGTACTTCGTAGAACGCGCTCTAAACTGGAACTATATATAAATTTTCGATACGGTTTCGTTCTGTCACAGATTTTAAACCTGTAACTAGTCGATGAGATTCGCGACAGACATTGCCACTGTATGTCGTGAGCTGGATGACTGTTGTTCTTCAGGATGTTTTTACTCAGGCGAGTGCACCGTTAAATCAACGAAGTGCTACAACAGATCATTCTGCGAAAGGCCACTGATTGTAGAAATTGAAGACTTGTCTCAGTGGTCATTTCAACGCGTTAAGTCACATTTCACCAGGCCTGGAAGCATGCAGATACGATAACTTCTTATTTCGAAATGTCAATCTTCACACTGAACTGCGGGATAAGATACCACATAGTGTGCCTGAGCACAGATTTAAATACCGCTGTGTCAGTGGAGAGAAATAAGCTTTCGAAAATTTGCAGAAATATAGACGGATAATAGCGTGAGACCTAAAAGATTACATGAAATTGATGCATCTTGTGTATAATCTTTTCACTAAACTGACGTTTACTATTTGTAAACTGAATTCGGTTCTTTTAAATGAGAGATTAATTCCATAGGTTTCATGCTTTTTTACGAAATTACTGCCTTTATTACTATTATATTACTCTGAAACGTTATTGTGGTGGCGCCTTTTTTTATCAAAGATATCAGCTTCACGACAAAACAACACTGTTCCAGGTGCTACGAAAAAGTTTCGCATCTTACTTTTCGCCGATACTATAGTAGTGTAACAGATTTACACCTGAGTGTACGACAGTACTGGACCGCCCTGTTGCTTCTAGACGCCTACGGGAAACATTTAACATTTAGCGGACTGTGGTCCATCGTGTATTAGCGCCTGCAATTCATACTATGCAAAACCGCTTCACTGACTCTTAACAGTTCAGGTCGGACATGTGGATAGAACGAAATGAACTCATTTGGCAGGTATCAACCTGTATATCTGTTAATTTACTGTCGAACTTTAAAGGATGATCAGAATACGTTTGAAAGCACGCATGCTTTGTGTTTAACTAGCTTGGAAGCGCGTGGAAAAAGAACAAATTATTTAGGAAACATTGGCTTTTTTAAGTTTTTGCTGATATGGTTGTTTATAAATGCGAGCTTATGGCTCTTTACTTTTAGTCAGTGTCCGGAATTTTACCAGAATATGGTTCAGATACAGCGGAATGTAACGTTCAACCAGGTGCGCGGCATCTTCGGCTTCACTGACTCGGACTGCATTGGCAAAATCGCTTTTCCCGCAACCGAAGCCGCCCCATGTTTCAGTTCCAGCTTTCCGTTTATTTTCAACTCCAGGACGGACATACCATGTCTGATTCCATGCGCGATTGATCAGGTACGACTGAAATACTGTATGATGATTACTGTTGTGATTTACAGGATCCCTATTTCCGCATGGCGCGCGACGTGGCCGGAAAGTTGGGATTCTGCAAACCTTCGTTAATATTTAGCACGTTCATGCCAGCTCTACAGGGGGCTCAAACAAAGATGTCTGCTAGTGAACCAAATTCTTCCATCTACTTGACGGACACCCCAAAACAAGTGAAAAATAAGGTAAGTGGTATTCGGTTTCGTTTATCACAAAAAGAGTGATTACTTTATTTATCGATCATCAGAAATGTAGATTCGAATATCATGTTTATGAGAATAGGCAAACATCCCCCAGCATGGTGGTCCCATAGCTGGGAAGTTGTATTCGTTGTAATGTACAGTTGATTGATTTCACAGTGGATTTCAGCGATCGAGGGATCGTGTGAGGAGGACCGCCATCCTACCGATGGTTATAAAGTTTCTTTTTGTTTTCTCTATTGAATGTTAGATGGATATCCTGATTGCCTTGTGTATCCCTTCCTCTGAAGGTGATGCC